ATATATAATTTAATAATTCTATATCAGTGCTCATAGTTTAAATGAATGAATATGAAGAGATACCATTGTCAAAGTCCATTGAATTTTAATCTTTCATTCTTAGATGGGTGGAATGGAATCATTAATGGCAGCGGTAGTTGATGCTAAACCAAAATTAGCAGCGTACAGGCCTTTGATTGCATTCGTTGCATGTGTTATACTTTTTTTTCTTGGATTAGTTATGACTACTCGGGTCGGTAAAAGTATTTAATCATAGCAATATAACAAGTAGTAAAACTTGTGGCATTTTTAAATGTGTTAATTATAACGTAAACTATCCAGTACTCACAATGCAGTGTCCTAAAACAAGTAATAAAACTTCTAATATTTTAAATGTGCTACATTATTATATGAACTATCCATTACCCTTCATTGTAGTATCCTAAAAAAAGTAGTAAAACTTGTGACATTTTTAAATGTGCTAAATTATTGTGTGAAACTATCCGGTACCTGCAAATACGGAGTCCTAAAACAAGTAGTAAAACTTGTGGCATTTTTAAATGTACTAAATTATGTAAATTATCTAGCATCTGCAAAACAGTATTCTAATACAAGTAGTAAAATTTATGGCATTTTTAAATGTGCTAAACTATTAGGCGATACTATCCAGTACTTGTAGTGCGGAGTTCTACAATATGTAGTAAAATTTATGTTATTTTTAAATATGCTTAATTATTATGTAATAATTACATTCTGAACGATTTTTATAACTAGGGAGGCCTTTATGTCCTTACATTGCTTAATTTCTATACAGCGTATATTGGGACCTATATCATCGCATTTATGGAAATAATATCCGTTACTTATTTCTACGGTACAAGATAAACAGTAAAAGATTTATACAATCGTGTTGACAGCTAGATAATACTGGTAATGATATTAACTTTCACCGATAATACCGATTTGAATAGGAGGTAATCGATTTGCTAAAAACCTCCAGCGTGTTACAGGGCAGCCAATCTATTTACCAATGAGAATTTGTTGGTATATCATAACTCCCGGAATGATAGTGGTATTTCTTCTAAGTTTATTTAATTAAATAGTTTACTAGTAGAAAAGTGGTTAATTTAAATTACTGAGATAGACCGGTAATAAATTTCATTTGTTTTTTCTTTTGAATGGGTAAATTTTCAGTTATAGATTAATCATTCTGCTTAGACGATATACCGAATTATAATATTGCTTAATTTTTTATTCAATCATATCTATTTAATAGCTAAGCAAGTATAACTTATGATCATATCTATTAATCCTTTGTCAGTACTGTCATTATTCTGTTTAGTTGATTTTGCAGAATTAGCAGATTGTCTTCTCTATTTACAATTACTTCGTAGTCATTTGATTAATTTATTATCCAGTGTAAATCTACAGTATTTAATAGGTTTAACACTTCTGATGGATCTCATTTTTACATAGCATCGTCTCTTACATTTTCTCCAAAATTTTCTCTTCTGCTATAGATGATATTTATATTCAGCTTGGTAAATTATGGGCCGGCTACATACGGCAACAATGTTCCTTTTCCATGGTGGGGAGAACTTGTTGGCTGGATAATGATAGGATTAATTATATGTGCTATCTTTATTCCGGCAATTTACAGTTTATGTATCACGCCAGGAACACTAAAAGAAGTAATTATTGACATGTGTTTGATAATTTAGCTCGTCTATTTTTGTCATAAACGAAACTTAAATTTAATTTTTTTCGACTATTTAGCGATTTAATAAGTTGGCGTTTGTTCCTGAATCGAAAGAGGAAATGGAAAAGATCATATTGCCGGACGATATCGAACTTAAAGATGCTGGTCATAGACCAGTCTCTTATTATTATTTTTAATCTGTCGCATTGTGTGCTAGAACGGATACAGCAGTACCTGTATCCTACATTTGATTAGATCTACTTTCCATATAAGATTGTTTGTACTTCATTTAAGCTAGATCAGGGACTTCTAAGAGAAATCCTCTTAAAAGTCCCTGGCTTGATTTGATGCCTTCAACTAAAGCGGTGATTATTTTCAAACTTGAAGATTTTAATTCTACATAGCACTTTAGTATACTGATCAGAACGGTATTTCTTGTTTTCTACCTATTATAAGAGCTCATCTATTGTCAATTATGATTTATTATGATGTACAAGTAGCTAATTAGATATTTAGCTCATTAGTGACGTATACTGCGTCTCATAAATCATAACTTGCTATCCAAGATATGACGTTAGTCCATAACATAACGTCGCAACTGATATTACTTAAAATATATTTTGGGATTTAAGAATTGATGATTATCCAGACCTACGTATAACTTGGTGCGTTTAAGCATCGTTTTAATATGTGTTTACTAAATCGAAATAGAGCTTATGAGCACAACAGTTTAAACTTACAGTAGTGTAATTCCTGAATAAAAGTAATGTTAATAACATTCCTAATTATATATCCACCTTTGGGTATTTGATCTTCAAGTTTAGAAAGACTTGAAAAGAAGTTGTAATGCTGACGTAACTCAGAGTATGCTTGAACATGGTAAAATTAATTTACCAATTTGCATTTACCCTAAATAGTTTATGCTAATCTTATCATAGGAACAGCATCCATTTTCTTTGCAGTAACATCACTATCACAAAGTAATATTACTACTATCTTTAAAATTATTTAATTACTTTAATAGAAATTCGTATTTACTTAACCTTAAACATCCTCCGCAGATTATTAAGTGTCGGTTAGCCTGATTATCACAATATATCGTCATTGTAGTCATTAATCATGGAATTAAAAATTTATAGAAAGAATGTAATCATTTTTATTAAGAAAGGAAATCACATCTATCGATGGATTACGAATACAATATTTTTTTGTAGGCAAATGTGAATAAATATATTAAAGGATTTACAGCTAATGTGGACTGGTCATGTATTATTCCTTGCACCATGTCAGAATAGCGGGAAAAGCTTAGTCCTTTACTATATCTTTTCGTGACATGACTTATAAGATACTTTTGGATTAACAATTTCATGAATCATGAAAGCCAACTGTAGCGATTTCAGCTAGTCACAGTGATAACATGAAGTATGATAGTGCCAGAAATTAAAGTAGTTTACAATGTTTAAAATGCCTAATCACTACAGAACCTAAGACATCCCTGTATAGCGCAGGTAGATTGAGATTTGGTAAATGTGTTACTAAACGAAGCTATTTCAGTAATTGCTAATTTATATCGATAAAAACGATTGCTATGCTTTCTCCGATTACAAGTAGAATAAATAAGTTATGATTTAGCTTATATTTTAGAACTTTAGAATATAAATGCCATAATCGGAGTTGGATTGGCAAGCGCTTATAATAACAAGAATTTTTTCGTGATTGTTAATGACATATAGTACATAATTATTATTTCTTTCTATGTGTGTAGGGAATTATAAATAATAAATTTGAATCATGCTATAGAAGAAATAGACTACTCGAATTTAGATGTTCACTATTATGCAGTACAACCCTGAGTTGGCATATTTACCTCGAATCCATCACATTATTAATAAAACATACATTAATAAAGTTTTTGTAATCGTTGAGGTATTTATGGAAATTTGATCCAAGGATCCTGATCGGAACTCATAAATAGAGTGTTCGATTGTGCAGTTATTTACCATTAAAATAGAATTTATTCCATACTATAATTTGATGCTCGTGATTAAACATTTTAACCAAATCTACGATGATAAATAGTATAAGATCATTTGTAAATTAATGACTTACAAGACATTTGAGCAGTTCAAAGGTTAATTAAAGTATGAAACTAGACACAGCTCATTTCTTCCCTCTCTTATTTTAGGATATAAAAAGATTATCTCTTAGTTATACGAAATTGTAAACGATAATTCAACATACAATCTAAGTATATGAATCGTATAGCAGCTAAGCAGCTGCATCGATCATAAGCTATTACATCAAAACATTATGATTATTTCATTTCTTGTCATTACTTCTTAGCATAGTTATTATTGCATATACTGATTATCATTTACTGATACTAGTACTGTACTCCATTACCTAATCATCAGCCATCTTTAAGCACTCCTAAGCTGAGCTCAGTAACGTATACTATTGTTATTTTTCATTCGCTCTAATACGATCACCCAGTAATATAGTAAATTAAATAGTAATCAGATCGAATTTAATCCCTAATCCTTGGTGACCACTTATTCTTAATATTGATAATACTGTGCTACCCCTTCCTGGCAAAAGATTAGCTCATATTTTTTTGACCTAAGCGTCAGTTATCAGTAGCATAAGGCAACAGAAAATTACATTATTGCTTATCGACCAACATAACCTGAATATTATTACCCAGCTAAACAGAGCGTTGATTTAGCGCAATCTTTGACTATTAAGTCTTTAACACATATAGTGAATTAGATAACAATTGGATCTATGATCAAACTAATTTTCGAGGCCCGTATACTTTTAATATCGATAATATTGCACCACTGCTTCCACGAAAACAATTAGCTCCTATTTTTCGCCTTGTTGTAGTCCTTGGTAGTGAGACGAACCTAACTTATGCAATAAAGTAAAACTTATAAGAAACTGTAGTTCTTATCTTATTTTTAAGAAGACACTTATTACAACATGCTATGCGATCAGTATATTATTAAAGAGCTTTATATAGCTGTCACTGATCACTAGCACTTTTACGTATCGTGATAACGACGAATAAAGCGATTGGTAATAATATAACTCCGTTATAGGAGCGTATGCAAACGATCATTCCTATGAGAAACAGACGTAATTTAAAATCAATAACGAGCCCTTGCTAATTCTCAGCAATGAAACTTGGTCACCAATCGTAGTGTTAATTTTACCATCTGCCGTGAGAGTGTAAATTTTGAATAATAATCAATCGAAATCATACAATATGGCATAAATACTTTAGCCGATTGAATCATTCCAACCTGGAATGATAGTAAGCAGTGCGTCTATATCAATCTCTTAACAGCCATTTAACTACCAGCAAAGAGATATTATAATTTATGGCTATTTATCTACATGAGAAAAGTTTTTGATAAACTTGGAAATATCCAATTATGCAAAAATCAGAATTATTATTGTTATTGATAACTCCTAAATTGGATGAAAAATATTCAATTTTATTTACGGTCTCGTAATTAACTGAGTAATTCAAGTTCATGATAAATAGATTTAATTGAATCACACCACAATATCGAAATCCTCTATTAAAAATAATTCAAATGAAGCATTTCATGCTAGCTTGTTGTGATTCTGACATTTGTGCTATTGCAGTATTTCCTGTAGTTATTATATGAGAGTATAATACAGTATAGAAATAGTAAAGCACTGAGTTAGATTACAAGATTTAGAGACTAAATAAAGACAATTTATTAACTTAGCAGGATATACTAAGAGTATACCATTAGGACTTTGGAAACGGCAAAATTAGTCCAATGTACGTACGCCTTGCTATGAGGTATCCGGCCAAGTTTTAAAATAAGAGCGCTATAAATTGATTTTTCCAGCATCTTGCGATTGTGTTGATGTTTTAATCGCCATGGATACGATCTGAGCAAGATTTTCAGCAATGAGTTGAAAGCAATGCCGGAACAATTGATTAATTATGCTATCATTTCTTTAAGTGAATAAAGTGATTGTAATTAAATTAATTGATTTTTCAGGGCATAGTAGAAGTTTATCCTAGACGATTTTATCAAGCAATCTATGGTGTTAAAATGAATCCGATAATAATAAAATGCTATAAATTATCAGGTTATAAAGGTGTGATCAGCTCCGTTAGTCAAAGACGAATGGAATCGATAATCGTCAAGAAAACTACCACATTGCCATTAATCCGCTTAATAATAGCTTTCTTAGCATCATCTCATGCTACTAAAGTAGAAGCAATAAGCGATTGTCACAAGCTAACCGTAAATAGGTAAGTCTTTGAAAAAGCCAAATCATGTTGTGCTGCGCTTACAATGCATAGTTTTAATTTATCCAAAACTGCCATTATTGACATTTGCTATAGAAACATATTTCTCTAATCACTCGTTTGTAGCAAAAGGAATGCTACTGTTGACATTTCATCGAGCATTGATCTACATATTTTTTAATTAGACTATGTGAATAGGCCATTACCTGAGTCCTTGGTCCATTGAGAAATAATGCATTGTTGAAATTATGTTACTATTTACAATGGCTAGATCCTTTCATCTAGTTGTCATATCTTCCAATAGTAGTTCTAAACAACAGTAAAAAGGTTTTACAATAATAGATGGAGGTCATATTTATAGGATGCAATGTCTAATGGGTTGATGAATTATTTTTTAGGATAAAACATTAGGCGACGAATAAATAAAATTCAACGGAAAATCTAGTGACGTTTCTTTAGACCATCCTATCGCGTAAGATCAAAACACAATTTCAATAGGTCCAAGGTAAAATGACGTTGGCAATTTTTGCCTAGATAAATTCATTTCTATCCATCATCCAATTGATTCTAACTCGATTAAAACTTGATTTCTTTATCTAGAACTTGAATTTCTTTTTGTAGCTAATATTCTCAATTGCTACTAATAATAAAATGGTTGAAGAGAAAGAAATAACAGATCCAGAAAAGGATCAAATTTCAAATTCAGAGGAAGATAGTGATGATAATCGTGAAAGTTGGGATAAAAAAATTGATTTCTTCCTATCTTGTGTAGGCTATGCTGTTGGATTTGGTAACTTGTGGAGATTTCCCTATCTTTGCTATGATAATGGTGGAGGTAATGTTAACTATCATTTTCAGGGATTACTAACTGGAATACAATCTCTTGCTAGCTTAACCATTTCAATCATGCTATTTTGGCCAACTAAATCATTCTAATTATTCCAACTATTTAACATCCCCTTGAACATCTTTATACTTATTAATTCCATTGAATTCATTAAAGTTAGCAATTTCTCTGCCTTCAATAACGTTGTTACCGGCACAAGCGAGCACAATGCTTGATATCCAGTCCTCTCATTCATTTGCACTATTTTAACAACACCCTTTTAACATAAGATTATAATCTAGCTGAAGTTTAGGTAATTAAACACGCTATTCAAGGCTACCGTCTTCCAATGATATTGACTGTGGCACTACTGTAGTATAAACTGTAGACACCAGTAAACTTGTTGGTCAGTCATGCAGGCGCTTAAACACACATAATTCCATGCCCTAATTGGTTTAAATGACCGTTTCTTCATTATAGGGTATTTAATGCAAGTTATAATCTTTATTAATGGAATAGTAAAATTAAAACAAGAGGTGCAGTTATTTTCAATGTTTTGAAGAGGTAAGAAGTAATAATAGTATACTAGTGCAAACTCCCGTCGCTTTGCTGACGGTTTACGATAATGTGCTCATTTAACGGATAGTATTACGATTTGATAGACCTGTCAGAGGTTCAATAACTTTATACCGTGTACTATATGCTGTACAAATGTACGGTACAGCACTAATACAAAAATTTTAGTGGTGCTGCCTGTCTATAAAGATAAAATCGAGGGAATGGAACAATTTCCTATCTTGCTAGGTAAAATAATAAAATCTCTTCAAGTCATCATCGGAAACGTAATCGAGAAGAAATTGCAACTCAATTGATCCTTTATCGCAATAAAATCCTAACCGTCAATGTATGTGCAATAGTAAGACTAGATTAATCCAAACTCCATCATATCGTCCAGAACAAGTAAGATCAGTTAGATTCGAAAAAAATTGCCTTTATCCATAGCGTAATCGATGCGCTAGTCCATGCACGCGTTGATGGTGCGTCCATAAGAATTATAAACAACATTCGATCTACCAGTATTTTCATTCGATACAGTGCTAGTTAGACCTTTTCTATCGATACGAAGCCAATCAAGGAAGATATGAATTAACTTGACTGTGTTGGTTTACCATTATCCCTGAAATAGGTGCTTTCTTGATTCCCTACCTGCTTTTCCTATTTATTTGTGGTATACCTATGATCGCTATGGAAATGTCTATTGGCCAATGCTTTCGCGGTGGTCCTACCACGGCATATAAAAATATTTGCCCGATGTTTGAAGGTATGGATAACGACATGACTCCATGCATTCATTTTCATAATTATTCAAATAGAAACTGTTGTTGAATATCGACAATTTTTTTTTGCAAACTAGGGATTGGATATGCCCAGTTGATGTCGACTTTTCTCTCTGGGATAAACTATGTCGTTATTTTCGCTTGGGTATTATTCTTTTTCATCGCCAGCTTTATCAGTCCATTGCCGTGGACTACTTGTGGAAATACTTGGAACACCGACAGTTGTTTCGTTAGAAATGGTTCAGAGACGAATATGTCAGGAATTTCCCCGTCTCAAGAGTTTTTCAAGTAATTATTTATAACAACAATCTTTAACACCCATATTATTCATGATTACATGTTCAACTAGTGTCACACACCACTAGTGACAAAGTAGTCTACACACGCCAATCCTTGCGTAGAACGCCACTTACTAACTTAAAGAGGCGAGATTAGCTATATCACCAAATAATTCAGTTCCAACAACCGAATACTATGGTATAATTATAGCGTCACAGATGATGTAGACGAGATAGTCAGAGATTTACTATCATTTATTACTGAAGGAATCTTGGCACCCAAGATTATAGTCTTTACAATTAAATATCAATTGAAAAACTAGTTGACTATCTAACCGACTAACGAACTAAAAAGGAATCTTCATTAGGACGAGCTTACGCATCGTAACAACTAGCTAATGAAATGTTATAAAAAAAAATCAATTGCAAGATATAGTAGATTATCCATACACACATCAGTAGTACATAACACCATTTTCAATAATGCAATTTGCTGTCCTCTTGTAGCGCTCGTGTACTAGGATTAACACCTAGTCCTGCCCAGTTTGGTCACGTAAGATGGGAGCTCGCATTATTATTATTATTAGCTTGGACAATTATTTATCTCTGCGTCTTCAAAGGCATTAAATGGTCAGGAAAGGTAAGACATATACTACTGTCAATACAATTATGTATAAGAGAAATGAGAATAGCAAGTGTCTATTAAGTCGGTTAAGACTTCACTATTTTATCGTATCGACTGTAGTTAACTAGAATAGTTCCGACGCCATGTTGATCATTACCATAATGACAACTTTACTTGCGAATTAGAGCTATATTACTTCATCGTATTAATTGTAGTTAATTAAAAAAGTTCAAGACGTTGTTTGTATCGTTACAGTCATGACGACTTAATTAGTAAATAAATTAAATCTATACTACTATCAAGTATCTCACGAGGGAAAGGATTAAATACGCCTTTCGCATTGCAATAAGGGAAACTGTCAATTTCTTATCATCCATTTGAAACATAATTTACATTTACGTTTACAAATCTGATAGGTGGTTTACGTTACTGCTACGTTTCCCTACGTCGTATTGATCATCTTATTTTTCCGAGGAGTTACTTTGCCTGGAGCCGGTAAAGGCATTAACTTCTACTTAAGAGTCGATGTGGATAAGTTAAGGCTAGCAGGCGTAAGTTCCATTAGAATGATGTTAACTAACTAATAAAAGAACACAGATCGATGTTCATCCTGCCGTCTTAATAACATGTTGTTCCGATATCGGATGAATAAGTTGATTATTAACATACTGATAGAAGTTAATTTTGGATTGATAGACTTGGGCTAGAGCAGGAACACAAATATTTTATTCGTTAGGTACAGCTTTTGGTCCAATGATTACCTTTGCAAGTTATAACAAGAGAAGTAATAATGTACTACGGTAATGCAATATATCGATTTTGTATCCGAAATTCGATAAACTGCGAACTACGATTGATTAACTAACATTGAACGTTCAATTGAATATTTCAATATAAAGAGACGCTACTTGTATCAGTCTCATTAATTGTACTACAAGTTTCTTTGCTGGTTTTGTTGTCTTTTCTGTCATTGGATATATGTCAGAACAACAAGGACTTCCTGTTTCGTCAGTAGTTAGCCAAGGTTTGTTTATCTTGTTTACTATTACTCATTATTGAGTTACAATTATTTTACTGATTATTATAAGATCAAATATCAACACACCTATCATATCCTAGCAGAAGTATGTCTAATTGTCTATATGAGAAACGATTAGCTAATAGACGATCGATATTGTAGGTCCAGGTCTTGTATTTATGGTATATCCAGCTGGTTTGGCTACTCTACCAGGTGCTAACTTCTGGTCAATTATTTTCTTCATGATGTTAATCACACTTGGTATAGATACTGAAGTGAGTCTATCAAGATTTCCTGTTATAAATAATTTAATTACATTTAAATATAAATTCTCTAGGAGGTGTAAGGTATGAAAGAAAAGATGAGTAAATTTCACTTTCTATCAGTCAATAACCCATTTATTCGGATATATGTGATTTAGATGGGTGGAATAGAAGCTATGACAACTGGAATCACCGATGTATGGCCTAAATATTTGCCTTACAAGGAGTTGCTAACATTGGTTATTTGCGTTGTTACATATCTTCTAGGATTAGCCTGTGTTACTACGGTTAGAATAATTTCTGGATAGCTATAATTAATCGATGCTGATATTAGAATCCGATTTCTTTGATATGATCCCATTTAGAAATAATTATAGACTGACAATCACTTATAGTAAATTTGTACTATTCATTAATAGGGAGGGTTTTACATCTTTACCTTGATCAATTGGTATTCCGCCGAAATAGGACTTTTCATGACGGCTCTCGTTGAGATTATTGCTGTTTCCTATATTTACGGTTGGAAAATTAATATTAGATGCATATAGGTTATCATACCTTGGGATATTCTTACTTTAATTCATTTTATTATGGATACAACTGGGTTGAATAGGTGGTAATCGCTTTGCTAGAACTATTGCTCGATGTACTAAAAAATCTGTGTGGATCCATTGGAAAGTTTGTTGGTATTTTCTAACTCCTGTCATGATTTTTGTACGTTCTTGTACGTTCTTAAAATTTCTTATACTGTCTCTGTCTAATCATTGTATTTGATAAAAGTTGGTTTATGATTGACGTCTAACTTTGTGATTATCGATACGAAATATTTAAAAAATTTTAAGGCTTGCTTTTTTGGTATTGTAGGTAGTGGTACTTCTGAGTTGCATCTTTTATAGCCCGGTTGTATATGGCAATAACCTTCCTTTTCCATGGTGGGGTGAATTTCTAGGCTGGATAATGACAGGGTCCATTTTGGCTTGCATTGTGATTCCGGGGATTTATAGATTCATTACCATGGACGGGTCTTATAAAGAGGTAAGTCTAGCAAGCGTATTCTATTTCGAACGGGTCCACTAGTTGTCTGGAATTGTACTTAAATCGATCTACGTCTATTTTATTCCACAGCGAATTGTCAGATTAATATTCGTTCCTAAAACAGAAGAGGAATTAGAAGAGGAAGGTCTATCAGCTGATATCGACATTAACTTTAACGGCGATGAGAAAGAGCCAACCATTATAGGTCAAAAGCAGTGGTATGGCATTGAATCAACAGTATAAGTGTTCGTGCGTCACGAAGCGATAGTTTTATTACGAGTTTTTTACTCGGGTTTTGTCTTCTATTTATATCAATTAAAAGTATTTACTCTTTGCTAGTTCATAAGATTTGAGTCAATTCGTATTTAAAGGAAGGCAATAAAAGTCGTCAAAATTTGTGGTCATAATGCTTGCATTAAATATGGTCTATTTCATGATTTCCATTTAAAAATGATGCATTGACGTAATTTCTAGAACTAATTCATAAGCTGGCCTTAGCTTAGCAAAGTTCCTAAGTCATGAAAACATATTAAGTAGATTGCTCAACTAAATTGTTATAAGGTAAAAGCTAGAAATGTTGTCAAAGCTAATTCTTCATAAGCAAGTTCTTTATTATTATCTTACACGTCTTAGAACTGGAGTGGTCTTTTACCGAAATACTCGTTAATCCAGCACCTTAGAATATTCTGAGCTTGAAAAACCTTGCAAAAACTAACTATCCTAGACATTATCAATAAGTGGAGATTAATTTCTAGAATAGCATGAGCAGGAACTCACCGAGCTCGATAAGCTTTGAAAAAACTATCTATTCTAAATATTATCTACAAGTGAAGATTGATTTCTATAACAGCATGAGCATAAACTCGTGGAGCCCGAAAAGCTTTGAAAAACTATCCTATATATTATTTATAAGTAGACATTAATTTCTAGATATTGTTTATGAGTAGAGGTTAATTTCTACAATAGCACGAGCATAAACTCACTAAGCTCGGAAAGCCGTACAAAACTGACTATCCTAGACGTTATCTATAAGTGAAGATTGAAATTTCTACAATAGCATAAGCATGAACTCGTTGAGCTCAGAAAAGCTTAGCAAAAACTAACTATCCTAGATATTATTTGCAAGTGAAGATTAATTTTTACAACAGCACGAGCATAAACTCACTGAGCTCGAAAAACCTTGCAAAAATTACTATAACTATGCTAGATATTACCTGTAAGTGGAGATTAATTTCTAGAACAGTACGAGCATAAAGTCGCTGAGCTCAAAATATCTTTGCAAAAATCTACTATTATAGAAGTTATCTGCAAGCGAAGATTAAAACTTCTGCAACTGCTCGAGCATAAACTCCTTGAGGTCGAAAAGCTTTGTAAAAAATCTGCTATCCTAAATAATATCTACTAGAAATGATAAATTTCTATAAGAGTATGAACATAAATTCATCGTGCTTGAAAAGCCAATACGACAGTTTTGTCGCATTTCTAATCTCGATACAATTATTGTCGATACGAATTAATGCTAACAATTTTGTTGTATTTCTGATCTCTTTAGGTATTTCATCTATCAAAGACTGATTTAACTTTTTCCTTGGAGTTTGCATATGATCTGTCTTTTAATTTGGATATCAATCACTCTATACGATATTATACAAATTTTTAGTGTCGTCTATCTACCATTATTATCGCTATAAGTCTACTATATAACGAAAATTCCTGTTTACTACGATAGCACCGCCATCGATTTCTTTACCGATTATAATTAATTATTAATTGTTATTGTCTATACAATTTAATGTTTCCAATTTGGGCGTATTTGTAATCTCGCTATGTTTACATCTGTCAAATACTAATTTAACTTTTACTTCGAGTTCATGTTTAGTCTATCAGACTCTATCTTTTATTTTAGATATCAATCCTTCCTATATAGGATAGCATACTTACTATTCATACACCTAACTTATTTAGTATCGTCTGTCTCGTACAATCGTATAATTATCGTTAGATCTATTCAATAACTTATATTTTAATTTCACTACATACAGTTTCTAACCCTTTCTATAAACATGAGATCAATAATAGTAAATTCTATTTACAACCCTACTTACTGTATTACAATAGGATAGTACTATGTCGGATAATAGTCTTATAATACAGCGTATGACTGCAAGTAACCGAAAACAATCCAACTAATTAGTCTAAAGTATGACTAAGTGTTAATGGATCGTAATAGACGCTTTAACAATCCTACTTTATTATAATAGGATAAGACCGCGACAGATAATAT